TTTGCTCCGCCACATTTTTGATGCGCCAGCAGTCCTGTTCTATTTTGATTCAAGTGGATGCCATACCTTTTTGAAGGTCAAATTTGCCCCAGTGTGTAACGACTTCTTACGCACATACTGTGATCTCTTAACATCACTTGAGTGTCTGGCAAAGATAAGTAATACTCTTGGTGGGGGGAACTATTCTGAAGGTTCTGAGTTTCAGTATGCTGCTCAGCAACTAAAATTTGAAATAAACAGTACTGTATAAACAAAATGCTGATAGCAAGCCTATGTAGGCAAGTTAGCCCTCCATTTTCATAAACTTAATATGTGCCATAACTAATCTGTGCAATCTTATAATGGCTTTTAAGTATGTGATGAATCACCTGTTCACGTTCTGTTGGAAACACTTGTCATGCATGCTCCATATCATTAACAACTTAAAAAAATAAAAAAATAAAAATAACATTGTACTGTGTTACAGTGGTGTTTTACTGTGACTACATGTATATTTATAATACGATTTTCAGTCTCTTATATTTATTTATTTATTTTTATTTTATTACTAAATTTGTATGCCGCCCATCTCCCCCCAAAGGGTGACTCCTAAAAGGCCCGTTTTCTCCAAATAATTCACCATTACAATAAGAGGATCATCTCATAGATTCTTTGAGGATATAGTAATAGTACATGGATGAGATTTTTCTTGTTTAATCTCCCCCCCCTTTGGGGGGAGAAGTACATAAAATTCAGAGTCATTCCCATTTTAAATAAACACCGAAACATGCTGTATATGTGCAAAGCCATGTAAGACTTGAAAACTTCTACTGCTGACTACTGTCACCAGATGGACACTCAACAAACTGCTAGGGAGGCAACTTTTGGGGTGCTCATGGTACTCAAACCATTCAAACTTGAAAAGGAGGACAAAGGGGCCATCATTTCCCAAAGGGATACTTTGAGCAGTAAATCTCAGTAACCCCTTTAATTGGTTCTAAGTGTGGATTGAAAAAGTGCTTCTAAAACATCGTCTCAACCCTTAAACTATAAGGGCTGTGCAAATTTTCAAAGGGGGGCTTCTAAGAGTAAACCAGAAGCAACCTTGCTTTGCTTTGCTTTGCTATTTTGGGCTGGGCTGGGCTTTGCTCTTCTTTGCAGCCTCTTCTCATCAGAACTCCTGTACAGAATCCCCTTCTGGTGCTGGAGAATCTTGCAAGGTCATGATCTCTTCTCAGCCTTCTGCAGCAAGACTTGCCAAAGCTGGAAAAAGTTTCTGTTCTGGCTTTGCAAGTAATAGGTGGGAGATGTGGGCAAATTGTGTTGTCTCTTTGTTTGGGAAAAGAGAATCACATGGTGCAGAGCTCTTTGTCAAGGCAAATGTTAGTAGCCTCTTAGAGATCTATTAAATATATTGTTTCATCTTTTCTTTTGGATAGGTCATGTTATGACTTAATATATCTCTTCTACCTAGAACAGTGCTTCTGGTTTTTTGGTGTTTTGTTTTAATTAATCTTTCTTTGAATCAGGCAACACACCGATTCCTTGGAAGTATACATTATCAGATATTGTAGTTCAACCCCCTGCTTGGTACAGGATCTGCTAAAACATTTCGGATAAATTGCTGTCCAACCTCTGTAGAACTCCAGTGAAGGGGATCCTGAAAAGCTGTTTTGTTCAGCTCATTCTGCAGTTCAGTCTTTCTGACTCAATCCTTGCAGTTTTTGGTGTCTGCCTTGGTTATACAGCCCTAAGTCCTTTTCTTACACACTTCCCTTTTTCTTTTCAGCATTTTAGAAAGCTCGGTATGTATTCATGCTAGATTCTTTAGATAATTCCATATTTTCTTCTTCTAGGAATTGCTCACAATTGCCTCTTCAGTATCTTGTTCCACAGGATTTCCCTACTTCCTGTGGAACAAGAAGTATTTTAATCCTTCAGATTTTCTAGCCATTGAGTCTAACCTACCTTCTGTCTGAGTTCATCAAAATCTGCTGTTCTGAAATCTGATTAGAAGGATGGTAAATGCAGGAAGGTGCTCAAGAATATTGTAGGAGATTTTTAGAATGGTAGATTTTTTTTCTGGATAAACATAACATGTAGCATGAAGATACTTATCTATGTATGGGGGTAGAAAAGTCTTTAATTCCATTCCTTTGAAATTAGGTAATGCTTCAGTGAAGTAGATTGAATTTTTTAGTTAATGGTTTGAGTAAAATCTTTGATAGATTCAAGACATGGATACGCTTCCATTATTCTTTTTATGAGAAGGAAAAGAATTGGAGAAAGATAAAAGAAAGATGGACCTTAGGTTGTGAAATGATAATGACAGGAGATATTTCAAAATGAAATGTGATGTGTGAGATTTACTGATTGCACAGAAAATCATTTGAAATACATTTGAAAAAATACTTAACTCTTGAGATTACTTTGTGCAGTAGAACCATAACACATTTATGCTGACGCTGCTCTCAACCACTCGAAAATTATTATTGTATGTGATGGTCATGAGTATTCCAAGGGTTTTGTATATGATTTTACATTTTGCCCTTGTTTTTAATAAGTTTGCTGAACCATTTTGAAGTTGTGCCTGTGATTTCCTGAGAATACCAAAGTGCTCTCCTAAGAGCTAGAAAGATTACATATCTCTGACCTGGTTAGTCTCTTGAGAGGTATCTTCCTACTCCTGTAGGATTTTCCTAAATATTAGCACTGAGCTCTGTTCCCTTCACGTTTGCCCTAGGTTTCTGTGACTGAAGCTGGGTCAGGTTGGGAAGGAATGGTGCCAGCTTTGAGAGAGCCCTCAGATGGCCAATTTTTCAAAGTTGCAATGCTATGCTATGGTTGCTTCTATGGAGATGCATATTAATTCCATCATCATGTGAGATTTAATGAAGGGAAACCTTTCAGTGAACTTTGTCAGGAGAAGCGCTTCCTCTCTCCATCTGAACCTACACAGATCTTTACGTTGAGCCATTTAACCATTTCATTGAGTCATTTATCTGCAGACACACCTCGCAATCCCTGTTCTTAGGCAATCTGAGTAATGTGGCTACATAAGCAGGCTGGCTAACTTGGGTATTCTCTTAGCTTTCTTGAGTAATCTTTTCATAGCCTCCTCCCTTTTCCACTTTTACTTGAAATCAGGTCCTTCTTAGAATGCTGTGGCAAGTTTAATGTACTCAAATTTTTGAGAAGGATTGAAAGGATTATTTTTCCTTCGGTAGATTTCAAGGAGAGATTTTAAAAACTTTATAAAATGAACTTGTAGAAAAGGAGTCACTCTGTATAAAAAAAAACTTCTCATTGTAGTGCTAAGAAACTGTTTTTTAATGAGTGCTATTAACTGAAGACTTAATGATGAGATGCTCATTTTACTGAAGCTTGCAGTATGTTTCTTATGAGTCTGGCAGTACATTTTTTGGTCAAAGATTGTTTAACTCATTTAACATTCCTAACCTAGGCAGTTGTTGGGGTGAGGGAATCTAGGGAATGTGTAAGTTCACAGTCATACTGCTGATCATGTAACAGGGCTTGAGGTACCCAATGCACCATAGAATAGCCACAACTCTTTGAATTTTTGTTTAAAAATCAAATATGATTTTTGTCCCATAGTTGCAGAAGAAAGCTTGGGAAAAAAAGAACTAGACAATATGTTCTGTAACTGAATTAGCAGTAGGAATTTATGAGAAGGGGAGAGGGGGCAGTCATTGAATATAGCCATGAATGTACACAACAGGACAAGGAAAGAATAGATTAAATTACAACATGCTAGTAAATAATCTGGTAGATGTAGCCAGGAAATATGTGGCTGTAATAAGAATTGACTGCACATGATCAGATATAAAATCTTTTAAAAAGTGGAAAGAAAGCTGGTTCTCCGATGATGACATTCCACAAATGATTTTGGCAGTGTAAAAACTAGCAAAATGTCTCATTTTTTTCTGCCGCAGATCTCTCTCTCTCCCCCCCCCCCACACATAAGTGTGTGCCATACTTCTAGCAAAAGATCTTTGTGGGTCAGTGTTTTACTCTGTGCCAAAACAGTCCAAAATGTCTCATTTTTTTCTGCCGCAGATCTCTCTCTCCCCCCCCCCCAACACATAAGTGTGTGCAATACTTCTAGCAAAAGATTTTTGTGGGTCAGTGTTTTACTCTGTGCCAAAACAGTCCAAGATATCAAATCCAAATGGCATCCATCATAATATAATAAATAACTATTTGTCTTTTAATGGAAATCTCATGCTAGAGGTGGCCCAGCTTGCATTGCTGAATGGCTAGGGCAACACTGTTTACAAGACTGAAATTATAAGATTCGTTGATTATAAGCTAAACATCGAGAGAAAGAGACTTCCTGTCTTCAAAAAATTTTTCAGTTCTGGGATAAGGAAGCTGTGAATATTTTCCTTCAGTGATTTCAAAGAGCCAAAGAGTTCCCAGCAAGGATTGGTTTAAGTCTCCTATCTTAGTTTAACAACAACAACAACAATAATAATAACAATGATAATGCAAACAATTTCAAACTTTGATCCTCTTCCCAGTTTTGCAACTGTGCTACTACTGCTGCTATCCTTTAACATGTATTTACCTCCAAGAATGTCTGTGCAAGACAAGCTTCTACATAACTGATTCTAAAAATTCTGTGTTTGCAGAATTACATAGGCTGTAGGCTCCTAGTGGGATAATTCTGCAACTTTTGGTGCACCCTTGAGCACTGTACATTTTGATCACTTTTTTCCTGCTGCATGCTGCCTTACATGGTACAAAATTAACATCTGTACACACACACACCCCTTTCTTCATTTAAATCTGCAGCTTTCAACAATAACTGATGAGAGATCAATTAAGAGTCAACAATGGAAGTCACCTTAACTTCTTTTACTAGTTTGTTTAGTACTGGGGAAAATAATGGTTGTCTGATTATTTTAACTGTATTAAGATATTCTAAATTACATGGTATTACTTTGATACTAAGTTTATTATTTTGTTATTCCTTTTCTGGTTTTTCCTTTCTCTCCCAGATTCAATAAGTTGAGGAGCTTAAACCTTTCCAACAATCATTTAGGAGACTTCCCTTTGGCGGTGTGCAGCATTCCAACCTTAACTGAGCTCAATGTGTCCTGCAATGCACTCAGAAGTATACCAGCAGCTGTTGGAGATATGAACAAGTAGGTATATACTGAAGATGGTAAAAGCTATCTGAATCTCAGGCATGCCAGCTTCCTTCAGTGAGTTGTCAAACAGTGTGTGGTTGTGAAGAAAGGATATAACCTATGCCTACAGAAGGGATAGTGGGCTCCATGTCACTTCCTCCCATAAAGACAACCACCTGTAGAGAGAATGTGAAGACTGATTGGGAGCTTAGTTGAGGGGCAGCAGGTGCACCTGGAATGGATCCTGCTGAATGAGGTGATCAACTTTCCTTCCAACTCTGCAATCTGTCCAAACTCATAATAAGGCTGGAGAAGACAACGTTTTTGTGCTTGGGAATCAGGCTTAGTATTGGGGCAGTGGCACATAATGGATGGGGCCATTGTCATACACATGGGTAGGGCCAAGCTTTTCAGTTTTCTTCCTGGAGCTTTTATTTTGCTTTTAAAACTAGTAATCCTTCACAAGGTTTCTCTTACGTATTCTTTTCTTTCCAAGGGGTTATGTGTGGCCCTGCAGCTTTAAATTCCCCAATCTTGCTGCAAGATAGCTAATGTAAGTTGGAGATAGAACTCCTGATAGTGCTGAATGAGATTTATTAACACCCCCCACACACAAATTTTAAAAATTCTTTCTTGCATTAGATATTAGTATTGTTATGCCCCTTACAGGAAAAGACAATGCCCTGCACGTAAACCCAGTATAACTAAGGTCCACTTTCTTATTTTATGCAGATAGGCCTGTTTGCCAGTGCCAATCAGTATTTATCCAACAAATAATATCAGATTAGAATGAGAAACATGCATATGCATCTAAGATCTACAGTATCCTTTATGCAGAGGTACTTATGGATATTTACAGGACCAAAGATGTGACAGAATTTTGAGCATCTAGATCAGAGATCTCAAACTGCATGTAGACTAGTTCATTAGCTCATGGCTACAACTGTAGACTTTCCATATGCTGTTATAAAAATTACTTACTCATATTAGACTGAAACCAATTAAACAGGCTCATAAGAACCCAGGAACTTCTGATCAGGAACTTTATTATAGAAAAGCTTAAAAACCCATTATGATAGAATTCCAACAACTATTGTGAATCAAAAGTAAGGCCTCTATAGAGTAAAATTGCTGTACTTCCCTTTTCGAATCTCTTTCTCTCATTTGTCTGTGCAACGGGCTGAAAGGCCTGTCTTTTGGGTAGAACTGCTGCTGTTTCTGCCCTTCCCAGCAGCCAAGTGCAGCAGCTGCAGTGCCAGAACAAGAGTAGCAAAATATGGTGGCCCTGCAACTGCCTTCTCCCTCCCTCCCTCCTGGCCAGACGTTCTCTATTCTAGTGATTTCTGCTACAGGGCTGGGGGAAGGCAGATCCAGAGAGAAGAAAAGGGGCAGTGCTTGTCTGCCATCATGTTCATGTTCTCTTCTCTGCCTACCTGTCTGTCCTTTCCATCAGAAAGTTTTTGAGCTTTCTTAGAGGGGAGAGGCTCTGAAAGCAAATGAGTAAGTGATGCTGACTGTTGGAAGAAGGGCGGCTCAGCAGAACAAACATGTATGGAGGCTGCAGCAAATGTATTGGAGGACTGCATATGTTCTGCATTCTGCAAGTTTGAAACCCTTGATTTAGACGGTGCTGAGCCTGATATTTAAAAGCAATCTGGGTAATGACATAAATGGTTATTAGTGACATAAAGTTTTCATAAGTGATTTCTTCTTCTTATGAAAAGTTTACAGACCTTCTTGTTGGATGGGAACTTCCTCCAGAGCCTTCCAGCTGAATTGGAAAGGATGCATCAGCTTAGTTATTTGGGCCTCTCTTTCAATGAATTCAGTGACGTTCCTGAAGTCCTGGAGAAACTGACTGCCATGGACAAACTCTGTATGTCTGGAAATTGTATGGAGATGCTTAGCTTGCCAATACTAAGGAGAATGCCGCACATAAAGCATATAGATCTAAGGTATGTATCATCTGAGAAAAGGGATTGCATCAATGTTAAATGGCTGTTTTGATGATGACAAGCCACAATGGATTTATCCTTTAAAAAAGACTGTTTTCAAGATACCAGCTGTGATTAACATCTACTCTTAAAATTTATGACTAAACTTTCCAACCAGGGTATTCCTTGCCAATTACCTTGTTTCTTTATTCAAATGGTGAAGTTTTCAGCTGACTTCTGCCACAACAATTCATAGCTTTGTGGCAAGATAATTGCTTGCTGTTATTAAATGGCCTGTAATTTCAATTGAAAAATGTATTAATCAACCAGAAATATTTAGTTTTCTCACTCAAATGCTACCAACTTCTTCTGTTGGATATTAATTCACCGGGGTTCTTTTCTTTTGACGACAGATTGCTCATGATGAATTGGTTCTGTGGGAACTCTCATCATTAGCCAAAGCTATGGAATGCCTTAACTTTTCTCAATCTTTGATTTCCAAATGGGTTTAGAAAGTCCTTTAGCCTACCCATTCTGTCCTCTGGCTAGGAATGATTGGAAAGGTTGTTGAAAACTTTGGAAAAGATGAGGAAAGGGAAGGCTAATGTAGCTTGTTGTTAAAATATTATTTCATATTATTGTTAAAACATAACTATTACATAGCTCCTTATTAGCTTCTAAATGTCTTGTGTGGAAACTGTAGAGAAACAGCAGCTCAGAACTTGGCAAACTTTTCAGGACATGGATAACAGTCCAGAAAGTTCTCCCCTATCCATATTTGTGTAAGATCTCAAATCCATTGTATTATTCTAATTCAATTTTGAGAGGCTGCATACAACATTTGAGGACAGTGTTGAACTTGAAATAATTATGTAATTTGGGGCTATATTAATTTGCTCAAAACTCAAAAAGTAAGATTGGACTGCATCATTTTATTTCCGCAATTTTTGCTGAAGAGCTACAATTTGTATTTTTGGTTGTAGGTATAACCTGCTTCTTAAAGCACAGTTAATTCCTTTTTGCTACTGGATATTGGTTCCATGAAAAAGACATGTGCTGCATTTTAAGGAACAATAATGCAATATTTTTTAATATTATACAATTTTTCAGTTTTTCAGAGCTTCCTTTGCATCTCAAAGCAGTGTTCTGATTAGGCAATTTAGAGTAATCTATCTTGTCAGCTTAGCACTGAGAATTAAAATTCAGAGAAATTTCAGTTTGCTGGCTTTCAGTAGATCACTTTTATTTCTGCAAAAAGTCACCAAGTTCTCTTTGCTTGTTTGTTTGGGGTTCAGTATGAACTGGTTTGAGGCAAAACCTGTCTTACTTTTTCAGCAGTGAGATTTGGATCACTGTATTGTCACTATATACATATAATCACATAATGCTTTGGCAATGGTGGAAAATCTGAATAGTTGAAGAGCCTCACGTTATTCATTCTCTTTACACCCTATGCCACCTTTTACACCAAAGGAACTTAGAATGGTATTTTAAATTCTGTACACGTTGGCATTTTCCAATGAAATTCCTAAATTTGATGTGTGTCAGCATTCCTTTGTGAACATGGATAATCCCTATTGAATTATCAAAACTTTGTTAATGAGTTTTCAAGTGTCAGTAATGTTTACCAAATATTAATTCTATACATCATCATATTGTTAAGATAAGTTAGAAAGCCATTACTTTACTATAGTCTTTAAAAATTATTATGGCAAAAATGATCAACACAAAAAAGGCAGCCAGCTAATTTATGCCCCAGTGAAATGAGCAAGAGTGAATTTGCCTTGGAACATTAAAGTGAGCAACGATAAACAATGACAGTGGATAATTGGGAGGGGGGGCATCTGACTTGTACATTATTAAAAC